TGTTATATACTTTCTACTTATAAAACATAGGCAGGTACTGGAGGCATATAGATGATAATTATTAAAGTTAAGATCTGCTATTCCATACCTCATAAAGATTTTCTCCTTCCGACTGCTTCAGAGACATCGAGGATATATTTTCAAAGCGTTTCTGTGTGTGAAAGAGGCAAGGGAGTCATTGAACAGGGTACTGTATGTACTGAGTCATGAATGATTGCTCTTTAAAGATGAGCTCCATATACAAAACATGTGCCGTTTTAAATATAGCTTTATTCTGGCTTTAGATTAGCAAAGGGGGCATTGAGGAACCTGGCCTTGGGGCATCAGAGAGAGTAAATCTGGCCCTGCGTGGGTGGATTGTTCAACTGTACTGGTGGCCAGGAACCTGACAGCACTATTCAGCAGGAGTGCATTGATCACATGACTGAACAGGATTATAAGACAGTTCACATACAGTATGTGTATGAATCTGTTATATCCAGACTTTTCTCAGATGTTGCTTTCATGGGGTTTGGGACTTAAAGCTGAACTCCTGGTAGATATATAAATAACACAAATTCCTGCAGCTCTATATCCAGAGGTGGCTCTTTAATTAGGCAAATTAGGCGGTCGCCTTAGGCCTCGCGCTCCCGAGGGCCTCGCGGCCGCCTAGTTTGCCCTGTTAGAAGCCATTTAGCATTGTGAGCTCTCAGCCCTGTCGCTGTCAAACTGAGACTCTCAGTTTGACAGTGACAGGGCTGAAAACTCACCTGTTTCCTCGATCGTCGCACGGACCGTCGGCTCGGCCAGAGCTCCGCCCACCAGCCAATGAGAAGAGACCTCAGTCCTGGGAGGGCGGAGTTTAACTTCAGAAGCCGACGGAGACATCGTCCTGCCAGCTCCCGCCCGCAAGACACGGCTAGCCCAGCACAGTACTGGAGTGGCAGCCTGGAGAGCCCTGTGGATAGCCCTGTGGAAAGCAGGTGAGAGCCCTAGTTTAACCAGGGCTCTGTGGGATGTCCCCAGGGCCCTGTGGGGTCTAACAAGGATGGTTAGACACCCACAGAGCCCTGATGAGACCCCACAGGGGCCTGCTACCCTGGTGAGACCCCTGGTGAAATTCTGGTTATACCAGGGCTCTGTGGGGTCTCACCAGGGCTCTGAGGGGTCTAACCAGGCTGGTGAGACCCCACATAGCCATGGTGAGACCCCTTGGAGCCCTGGTGAGACCCTACAGAGCCTTGGTTGAACCAGGGCTCTGTGGGGTCTCATCGGGGCTCTGAGGGGCCTCACCAGGGCTCTGTGGGTCTACCAAGGCTGGTTAGAACCCACAGCACCCTGATGAGACCCCACAGAGCCCTGCTACCCTGGTGAGTCCCCCTCAGAGCCCTGGTGAGACCCCTGGTGAAATTCTGCAGAGCCCAGGGCTCTGTGGGGTCTCACCGGGGCTCTGAGGGGTCTAACCAGGCTGGTAAGACCCCTTGGAGGCCTGGTGAGACCCTACGGAGCCCTGGTGCTGGCGAGACCCCATGGAGCTCTGGTGAGACCCTACAGAGCCTTGGTTTAACCAGGGCTCCGTGGGGTCTCATCGGGGCTCTGAGGGGTCTCACCAGGACTCTGTGGGTCTACCAAGGCTGGTTAGAACCCACAGCACCCTGGTGAGACCCCACAGAGCCCCGCTACCCTGGTGAGACCACCCTCAGAGCCCTGGTGAGACACCTGGTGAAATTCTACAGAGCCCAGGGCTCTGTGGGGTCTCACCGGGGCTCTGAGGGGTCTAACCAGGCTGGTGATACCCCCACATAGCCATGGTAAGACCCATTGGAGGCCTGGTGAGACCCTACGGAGCCCTGGTGCTGGCGAGACCCCATGGAGCTCTAGTGAGACCATACAGAGCCTTGGTTTAACCAGGGATCTGTGGGGTCTCACCAGGCTGGTGAGACCGCACATAGCCATGCTGAGATCCCACAGAGCCCTGGTGAGACCCTACGGAGCCTGCTGGTGAGACCCCATCTCGCCTTGGTGAGATCAGACACTGTGGGGTCTCACCAGGGCTCTGAGAGGTCTTACCAGGGTGGTGAGACCCCACATAGCCCAGGCGAAACCCTACGGAGCCTAGGAAGACCCTGCGGAGCCCTGGTGAGACCCTGCAGAGCTCTGGTTTAATCAGGGCTCTGTGGGGTCTAACCAGGCTGGGGAGACCCCCACATAGCCCTGTGCTGGTGAGACCCTACAGAGCCCAGGTGAGACCCTACAGGTTTAACCAGGGCTTTGTGGGGTCTCATCGGGGCTCTTTGGTGTCTCACCAGAGCTCTGTGGGGTCTCCCCGGGCTCTGTGGGTCTAACAAGGCTGGTTAGACCCCACAGAGCCTTGGTGAGGCTCCACAGAGCCCTGATGCCCTGGTGAGACCCCAGAGAGTTTTACAGAGCCCTGGTGCTGGTGAGAACCTACAGAGCACTGGTGAGACCCTGCTGAGCCCTGGTTTTACCAGTGCTTTCTTGGGGTCTCACTAGGGCTCTTTGGGGTCTCACCAGGGGTCTAACCAGGCTGGTGAGACCCTACAGAGCCCTGGTGCTGGTGAGACCCTACAGAGCCATGATTTAACCAGGCCTCTGTGGGGTCTCACCAGCCCTGTTTAAACCCCACAGAGCCCTGTTGGGACCCTACAAAGCCCTGGTGAGACCCTACAGAGCCCGAGTAGGGCTCTTTCGGATTTCACCAGGGCTCTGTGGGGTCTAACCAAGCTGGTTAGACCCTACAGAGCACTGACGAGACCCTACAGAGCCCTGGTGAGACCCTACAGAGCCCTGGGGCTCTGTGGGATCTCACCAGGGCTCTGTGGGGTATAACAAGGCTGGTTAGACCCCCACAGAGCCCTAGTGAGACCCCACATGGGCCTGCTACCCTGGTGAGACCCCCACAGAGCCTTGATGAGACCCCTGGTGAAATTCTACAGAGCCCTGGTTTAACCAGGGCTCTGTAGGGTCTCACCAGGGCTCTGAGGGGTCTAACCAGGCTGGCAAGACCCCACATAGCCCTGGTGAGACCCCTTGGAGCCCTGCTGAGACCCTACGGGGCCCTGGTGCTGGTGAGACCCCATGGAGCCCTTGTGAGACCCTACAGAGGCTCTGTGGTGTCTTGCCAGGGTACTGAGAGGTCTCACCAGGGCTCTTTGGGTCTACCAAGGCTGGTTAGAACCCACAGCGTCTTGGTGAGACCCCACAGAGCCCTGGTGAGACCCTACAGAGCCTTGGTTTAACCAGGGCTCTGTGGGATCTCACCAGGGCCCTGAGGGGTCTAACCAGGCTGGTGAGATCGCACAAAGCCATGGTGAGACCCCACAGAGCCCTGATGAGATCCTACGGAGCCCTGGTGCTGGTTTAACCAGGGCTCTGAGGGGGTCTTACCAGGGTGGTGAGTCCCCACATAGCCCAGGTGAGACCCTGCAGAGCCCTGGTTTAATCAGGGCTCTGTGGGGTCTAACGAGGCTGGTGAGACCCCACATAGCCCTGGTGCTGGTGAGACCCTACAGGTTTAACCAGGGCTTTGTGGGGTCTCACCAGGGCTCTTTAGTGTCTACCCAGAGGTCTGTGGGGCCTCCCTGGGGCTCTGTGGGTCTAACAAGGCTGGTTAGACCCCACAGAGCCTTGGTGAGGCTCCAAAGAGCCCCGATGCCCTGGTGAGACCCCAAAGAGCTTTACAGAGTCCTGGTGCTGGTGAGAACCTACAGAGACCTGGTAAAACCCTGCTGAACCCTGGTTTTACCAGTGCTTCTTGGAGGTCTCACTAGGGGTCTGAGGGGTCTAACCAGGCTAGTGAGACCCCACATAGCCCTGGTGAGACCCTGCGGAGCCCTTGTTCTGGTGAGAACCTAGAGAGCCCTGGTTTAACCAGGCCTCTGTGGGGTCTCACCAGGGCTGTTTAAACCCCACAGAGCCCTGTTGGGACCCTACAAAGCCCTGGTGAGACTCTCTAGAGATTCTTTGGGATCTCACCGGGGCTCTGTGAGGTCTAACCAAGCTGGTTAGACCCTACAGAGCACTGGTGAGACCCTACAGAGCCCTGGTGAGACCCTACAGAGCCCTGGTGAGACCCTACAGAGCCCTGGTTTAACTAGGGCTCTGTGGGGTCTCACGAGGGCTCTGTGGGGTTTAACCAGGACAGGTGAGACCCCACAGAACCATAGTTTAACCAGGGCTCTTTAGGGGTCTCCCCAGGGCTCTGTGAGGTCTCACCAGACTGGTTAAACCCCACAGAGCCCAGGGGAGACACCACAGGCCTGAGTGGGGCCTCATGTTTAGGTTTCGCCTAAGGCCTCGCAAACTCTAGAGACGCGTCTGTCTATATCCATAATTAAATCATGAACATTTTTTTATTATTATTTTAAATACAAGCAGTGTAAGTATCTGAATTTGACTTGGTAGCCTTTTTCCCATCCCTGTAAGCAGAGCTCAGTCTGGGCGAGGGAAGGGCAGAACTCGGATCCAATCAAGTGTAGTGGTCCACTACATGCTCTCCATTTCCTTCACCTTTGACCCCTGTGCTTGGAGAGCCTGACTTCCCACCGGGTCTTGACAACCCTAGACTATGCCCACCTTGCCAGAATAATTGATTGGTGTTCTCACCGTCAAACTAAACAATGGGTCTCCATGGAGGAGGAGGACTCCATGGAGACCCACTAGCTGGCTTACACTGGCTCTCCGCTCCATTACCCCCTACTCTACGTGCCCACCTCACAATCTGACTGTCATGCTGGCAAAGTCATTCTTTTGGTCCACTGCACTATATCCATTTCCTTCTCCTTTGATCCCTGTGCTTGCAGATCCTGACTTCCCACTGGGTTTTGACAACCATAGACTACATCGTCTCTACGGGGAAAATAGGTCTTGCATGTGTGACCTTCGGAAAGGGGACCGCTGGCTCAGCGTTGAGGAACAATGCCAGATTGTAGACCCCCCATTAGACCGTTGGAGCGCACTCAAACTTCACCAATTCTTATTGTCCATCCCTAATCCCCAGGCGCTATCTAGACCTTAAGAATGTGTATTGTCTAGGTTCCATTTAGTTTGATAACCTCCATTTTGTATCTTATAATGAGTTTATTTTATATTTCATATCAAGAGAGACTGATGCCCCTCCTTCTCCTGTACATACACTGTAGCTGTCTAAAG